TTTATGGTTAGATGCTTGTAGTGATCCATGGCTGTTTTGTTTTCACAGACCACATGGTCATTGCGCTGCCGTCAAAAAGAAAACAACGTACAGTTTGAGACGGCACGACCTTTTAGTTCATGAAAACTTTGAATTAAAAACAAGTTGGAAGTTTTGTCAATTTTGTACACGACGTGCGCAAGTAATCTTAGATTGAGTAACTTGGAATGGATGGCCCTGAAATTGATATTAAACTTTACCTGATTTTCTAAATGCCAAAGCTATTTTTATTGTGCTGGATCCTGTTTTTAAAAAATTGGAAAGTAGAGCTCAGCCGGCGGCGCCGCAATTATGGGGCAAAGCTACGCCGCATTTGCCTGTGGTATATCCTGAGGGCCCATTGCGTTGCGTCGCTCCTAATTGCAGTCTCAGAGGAGCTAGCGCTACCGAGCAAATTGACCCATTTTCCTCACTCTCCATAGATAAAGAGATCAAAATGTGAATGATAAACGCATTTCAAGGGCGAATCAAATATAGAGTATGGGGAGGAAAAGTCTGCAAAGCAAGCAAAGAGAAAGTAAAAAATAAGTGAGTTAATTTCTCTTGGAAACTCATGACGGAAAATTTCTATCCTTTTCCTCTACTAATTCTCATGCTCCACTTCTCTTGATCATGTTTAATTCAAATCAAGCATTCGATCATTTCAGATTCATCCCTAGAATTAATTCATTTATTTTTCTAATTTCCTAAATTGCCGTCTTCTTTGTTTTCCTTATTGCATCTATACAGTTTCAACATATCAGGTCGTGGTAATGGGGGATGGCTCAATCCGCTAGCAGGAGCAGCGCTACTCCTGCGCAATTAAAAGTGACGCAACGTAAATGGTTTTCAGGATATACCGCAGGAAAATGCGGCGTAGCTTTGCTCCATAACGCCTGCCCCCCCCGAGCTCAGCCTTGCATATGTGCAAGGCTAACCTCTTGGTATGGGTCGTCCAAGGTGCGAACATCCCGGGGTCACAGATGTGAGTGCAGGCGCATCCGAGCTCTCCATTTCTTGGAAGACAAAAAACTTTAAGTGAAGAATGCAGTCTTTCGGTCTCGAGTAATTGGCCAAAACCGCACATGGCTTAGGCTATAGAAGACTAAAAATTTTTGTTCTTGGTAGAAGCAAGACTGTGTAATGCGAGCTATGAAAGTGAAGATTTCAATGGTAAATTTTTTTTGAAAAATTCTAAAGTTTCAACTGCAAAATCTAAGGCTCGAGCTGAATTTGTAAACTATCTCGATTTCTTGTAGATTGATGTCTTGTAGCCAACGCCGAGATTGGCTCGGCGTTGGCTACAAGACATCAATCTCAACTTATAAAATATGTCAAGATTTATCGAGAGTCGTACACTATCTCGATTTCATTGTTTGCTTACAAGTGTAAATCGGAACTGTTGAAATGTAAAAGTTACTTTCTCAAAAAATTCACGAGATTTTAAATTAGGAAGCACTTTCAAAGTAAAACTTGGATGCTGTGCATTACTTGAATAATTTCTGGATTTCCACGAACTTCAAAGACTAAAGTTCATGATTTCAAATCTTAGTTTCCACAATGTAGCGCACTTCTGAAGTGTTGAAGTCAACGTGCAATGCTACTTCTATTTCATAATACTGAACTGATTTTGATGACAAAAATCGGCACTGATAGGTCACGGCAGCCAGGGGCCGGAGCCAGCCTGGCTAATTATAGGGTGCGGAAGAAGTACTGTCCCTCAGTTTGCCTCCTAAAAAATCTGACAGATGGAGAAAATCTATAGTTTTTTGATTCCTACATGTAGGTGACACCTTGTCGATTCGACGAAGGTAAGTTTGATTTGCAACGGTTTCCTTCTGTTTATTTAACACGTTGACGACAACGCGCATTTTCATTTGTCTGCCCTGTGGGACAATGCCTTCCATGAAAAAATTGAAAATTTTCAGGTAAAATTAAGCAGAACGTCAGCTACAGTGAATCTACGGTATTTCTAAGAAGCGGGAAAGAAACGCCGAAGTAGTCGCTAGAATCAGAGCGTTAGAGAGCTCCTGAGACGAATATACCTCAAGATTGTATTCATTTTGACAAAATCCAAGCCATGACCCACCATGTGGGTCACATTGTCCCACGTGGCAGTCGTTGCATGACCCACCATGTGGGTCACGTTGTCGTCAAGGTGTTAAACGAGTGATAACTGCGAGCAGCATCATCAACGATGCGCCGCAGCGTTTGTGAGCAAATTTGGACCGTAACTATATAATCAAGAGTGATATTAATTGCTAATTCAGGTAGTATATAGAGCACAATCGTTTCTCCAAAATTCTTTACTTCTTATGGATTATGACTTGAAATTTTGACTAAACAAGAAGAATTATATCCCAGGCGAATTCCAAAAATTCACGAAAAAAGGCTAATCAGATCTGCTCTTGCTCAATGAATTGGATCCGAACTATGGTTCAAAATTCCAAATTCAAACAAAAAGTAATAGGAATGATGAAAAGAGCACCAGGCTTTGTCTACATTATGATTTTGAGTCAATAAACGATTGTACTTAGTTTCTGTGTCACGCTTTCTGGTCGCACCCTGTTGCTCCGCAGAAGCTATTCCGTTATAAAAGTTCCCAAATTTTCTCCTACTGCAACAGCGGTCTGGCTACTTCCAGCATATTTCAAAGACACCACAACACTCCTTAAGCAATAGAAGATTTCTCAAATCTACGCTGGAAACAAAAGAAATTTTCGAAGAAATTCACACTTCCTTCACATTTGTAAAAGGGATTTGCACGATTTGATATTGGATGCGCTGCGAAAAGGGATACGCCGCCGGCTGTAATTGCGGAATTTTTAAGCCAGTTTTTGTAAAATGTTAGAATACATTCACATCTTGAGATGTATGTCAATTTTACCAGAAAAACCTGGGAATTACGCCGATTTTCCTGCCTTCATATTGAGGGACAGTACTTTTTCCGCATCCTGTATACCACTATGAGGAACCAATGCTTGGAAAGAGCTGATATCAAATGTGTTGTTCAGAATTTTCTACGATTACTATGAAGATCGTTATCAGCTTATCAGTGCAAAAAGAGGGACCAATAAGATTTAGAACGTGTAATTCACTAAAAATTTAGATTTTCAAACTTTCAAACACATTGGCGGATAGGGATACTGATGACAATTGTACAAACGAGATTGTGGGATAAATATGAAGGCAATTACAACAATCTGCCGCTTCCGACGCAGATACGCATTTATTGTGCCCTGCGGCACATGAAAAAATTAACTTTCTTAGATTTTATATAAACCGTCGAAAAGAGCAATCGATGCTGAGTCCAAATATAACAACGAAAATTTAAAAAATGTTTCACCAGAAGTTTTTCCAATGCGGCACTTCCGACGCAACATCGTGTTTATTGCGCCGCAGGGCACAAAAAATTGTGAGTTTTTTACTTTACAACATACTCAGATCCATCAGACAGTGCTGGTTTCAAATATTGAGCCAGAGCTCGATAATAGTAGCCTAAAAATAGCTATAGCAGGGCGGTTCTTTCGGTGCTTTATTGCGTTCAAAACGCAGTTTTAAAAAGCGGCACTGACGATGCTGTGGGCGGTGGATGAAAGTTTAAATTCACAAACACACCTAAATCACAGAGTGCTAAAGAATTCTAGTGCAGTTCCAGTTACAGAAAGTCGCAGCTCTTTTGGAAGAAATAGAGTGATGCGGATTTTGAAGATGTTGTACTTTGGTAGTAGACTTCAAGTAATTCTGGAGAAGTAGGATATTTTCATTTCTTCAAAGAACGAAAACAGTGACACCAGAATACGATCAGTGTTTTGTTTTTATGAGAATTTTCCAGTGCCTTTCATAAACTTTTCGAGCCATTGAATCAGAGACATTGTGGAGTATTCCGTTTTGGTCGAAAAAATGCGGAAGAAAGGCGTGAAAAAATGCGAAAAAACCACTATTTCAGACTTTCTTTCCATAGTTCCCGAATTTACCGCGTAATGACTTTCAGGATGACGAACACTGCATTTCCTACCTCTACATGAAGTACACTAGACACTGAAACAAATAAAGATAGGATTTTACAATCTCGCTGGAAAACTAGGTTTGGTTGGTTCAGCACTTTGCGGTATTTGAGGCGGAGGTTGGATGGTTCGAGGTGAAATTGCTCAGTCATAACTCGCATTCTACCGATATTTTAAAGGTCCTGTTTTAACCATATTGCTACATAAATCCTCTCATCATTGAGGACGCGTTTTGTATGGCAATATGACTCAATTCGCATTCTTCATTTGATCACACGAAAGAACTACAGAAAAATTTGCAAAAAGAATTCTCTGCAGTTTTCTTTTCGCTCTAACAAGGGAGATAACCGAAAGAAAGCTGGGCATTAAGTTGAATCTATATCGCTGTTTCTTGGAATAGAGTTATAAAACCAAACCTTACGAATAATCAGTGCACATTCACATAATCCATAATGGCACTTAGGTGTGCATATAAACTTGAGGGCCCGGGCATACTACACACGATTTCAGTCGCGACGCGATTTGGCAATATCCCAACTGTCCATAACTTACTTTAACACATTGACGACCGCTTGACACACATGATGTGTCAAGGCTTGACACACCATGACTCTCATTGAAATGGCTATTAAAATGTGTCAAACCAACTCCGTGAGTTTTCTTTCATGCTGAATTTAGATGCAACCTGCTGTTTTTGCCAGCATTCCAACGCTGTTGTAGGTTACTGTGCGGAAGATAAATTTTATCAAACCACGTAAGATATACACACTATGCATGTGCAGTTTGCTAGTGTTGGATCTTAAAACTTCTGGTAAATTGCCAAAGCGCGGCGACTGAAATCGCGTGAAGTATGCCAGGCCAACATGTATTCTCATATATATTGAAACATAAAGATTTAGCAACTAGTAAGAATGTACAATTTAACCGAAGTACGCTGATTTATACTCCCTTATCTTTAGTTAGTAGTGGTTGTAATCCTGCTACTTTTCCGCTCTTACAAACTTGAAAGATCACTGCGCTTTGGATTTGACTGCATGAACTGTACCTAACATAGAAATGAGCCTCCGTAAGATATACGCCACGAGACCGGTAATAAGTGTGAGCAAAACTATTAACAACAGAAAGATGTCTAGATTGTAATAGGCAATGACTCCGAGATTACGACCGGTCAGTCTCAGCTCCGGCATTGGACCAAACTCGGCAGCTAATTCGACAGTCCTGATCAATTTCTCCCTAGGCAGGGGTTGCTTTGCCAAAATGCCTCGAACGCGGTGAGCGGCTCTTCGGTACCTTCAATACAAATCTTTAACCGCATGTAACTCGTACCTGAATGTTTTCCTTACTTTGGCTCCCTGAGAACCTCGCCGATTGCTCCGCCCAAAGCCTTGCTGTCGTACAGCTTCTCCTTATCCAGCATCAATCCTTGAAATTGCATTGTTGAACTTCAGAAAATCTTGTAAGAGATGCCCTCCTATTCGGATGCCTAGTCCACAACAGAGCGTGCCAGATCATTTCGCTGCTTGTAAGAATCGCTGGTGATTCTTACAAGCAGCGAAATGATCTGGCACGCTCTGTTGTGGACTAGGCATCCGAATAGGAGGGCACCTCTTACAAAATTTTCGTAGTTTTATCACACCTCGCGAGCTGCTATAGCTATCGTTGTCAAGTCGATAAATGTTACTAACTCACCGCGCTCAGATCTTTAATACACAGACACTTTACACAAATTAGTGCGAGCGTGTCGAATCTTGCTTATAGAGAGTGCACACGGAGATTGTGAGCCGTCACAGCAACGCCAAATCGCACGAGGCATAACCTATTAGTTACGGGTCGGCGATACTTTTGTGAGAGTGAGCATACGGCCTTTTTAACCTGCTTCTTTAAAAAAAACTATATACGGATCAGCAAGGGTACAAGGTAGTACCGCAGAGAAATTTTCCTATAGCGAAAGGCAGACAAATGAGACGAGAACGCACGCCAAAGCCCGGCACAGAACGAGTAGAAACAGGCTGGACTTCGTTTATGGACGAAAAGCAAATGGGATATCGTATATGCAGGGTCCGGTATAGATATCAAAAAAATCATGTAATGCATTAATACCGATGCGTGAGGAGGAAAATTGCACATACAGTGTGCAAGACAATTCAGCACACTTCCTGTAGTGGCAAAAGTGACCATTCAGTCAAGCATAAGCTTTAGAGACAGGCGATCACGATGTGCCATTCAAACGAAGTTTAACGGTGAACGTGCTCCATCATGTTTTACGAAAAGCGCGCGCGATTTGAAAGCAAAGACAAAACTGACAAACTGCTTGTTTACAGCGTAGAGACAAGCATATGAAACCAAATCTGGACTGTAAGTATAGAATAATACTTACGGAAGAATGATTTACAAAGTCCTGGAAACTTATGTGAAGTAGTACCTTCTCCAAAATTAGTCCGCTTCCAGACGCTCACAGACGGTCGTCTGGAGTATATAATTCTTTAAGTTTACATAAGTTTCGAATTTCTCTATCACAGACGGATTCCCCGGTCAAGAATTCATTCTTGGGTATGGAAGCATTTTCATATCGTTGCCTTTCCCTTGATTTGCGTCAATTTCTTCCTAACTCGCTTTTTAGATATCAAGCTCCAATGACAAACTTTTGTGCATGCGTAATATTCAGCTCCACTTTCAATTTTCACTTATTTCGCGTTTTTCCTCCCAAACTAGTGACTCTTTTATGTTTCCACCTTCTCATAAGTTGACCGCTTTCCGATAAGGGCCAGAGGATTTCGTAAAATTTTCGAAAGTGAGGACGACTTCGCAAAACCCTAAAAACCGACCCGTGCCGTGCCCTGGTTGCAAGTTATAAAAAAGATGCCCGATGGTGCCGCAAGAGAGTATGAAGCTACATAATTATGACGGCCACAGAAGAGCTTGTATCAAGTTGCGAATGTCCCATTGACGAGAAGGCAACGTGCGATTATGACGGGGATCTACGAGAGCTTGCCATGAGTGCTCCTTGATAGAACTTTGAACGCACCTCGATAAGCAGAAAAACTCTTTGAAAGAGGGAAGAGCTCTAAGTTAAAATGAGCTGTGACTTATTCAGAGTGACTGCTATTTGCCTACTGAAGCAACTCAACCTTGCAGCAGGATCTTAAGAATTAGAGATAAGCGAAGTTAATTTAAGCAGTTGAATAAGACGAAACCTCAGGTATAGTGAGGCATCTCATGAATATCACGTACTGTTGAAAGCACTACTAAACTAAGACTGGATCCCGATATTTTCTCTTCATGAGCTGAAATCTGTTTCGAAAGTTTTTCTACTATAGTTTGCAATGCAAATCAAAATGAAGACATCCATTGCTGAGGATTGAATCACTTTTGTTAAGCGTATGATAAGATAAGAAGCCATTCGCACAATTCGAAAAAGATTGCGTCGTGGCAAAATGAGGCTTTTCAACAAATGCAAACGGGAAGAATTATGACTGACTAGTGCTAACAAGGGAATGGTCAGAAATCGAAGTAGCCAAACCAGATAAGCTGCACGCCGTTGGATGCAGCATGAAGTGGTGAGTTCAAATCTGTCTTTCTTATCTGCTTATCGCTTTTCTGAACGAAATTATATTAGGTCGATGCAAATGTTTTGTCAGTTTTTTTAATCCATCGTCAAACACGCTAGAATGAAGATAAACAAGCACTTCAGAATGTATCCAATGCAGAATTTCTTCCTCTTTCCAGTTGCTAAAGTACCATTGTGTTTCGTTGCGAGAGTGATGAGATATTTGCTGGAAATTACAACCCCTCGTTCTTACCATGTCCAAATTTCACTAATTTTCAAAATTTTTGTATGAGACTTTCGGAGAAGCCCTAATAGCTACCAGATAGAGCAAACCTTTTGCCAACCTACGCAATTTTTTTCTTTTTTTCAGCTGATTTTCAGATTTTTGCTAAATAATTTTCTAAAAGTCTTGTGTTGTGGAATAATCGCATAACCGTTTATTGCACCAAACACTGCAAAAACTACGGGATACTGAGGTTCAAACACTCGATTATTACTACCGCTACCATTACAAAGTAATTGAGCGATTTTCGCTTCAAGTTATGAATATTTTGAAACATAAACTACGTCCGTGCGCACTCCTGAAATTGAGAAATACTGCGATTTTCCACACAAATTTCGCCTGTCTTGGCAAAAAAGACAAGTGTTAGAAGGAGTAGATAAAGTTGCATTGAATGGTGACTGAAGTGTTTATCATTTTATGTTCTACGAGGATAAAATAGGATAAATGTAAGATTTGGTCACTTCAAAAAATAAATCGTAGAAATTCTGAAAGACAAGCCGTAGGGCTACAAAAAATTGTTTCTGTTGGCAAAAAGTTTGCCCTATCTGCTGGTTATTAGGGCTCCTCTGAAAGTATACAAAAATCTTGAAAATTAGTGAAAGTTGGACATGGTAAAAACGAGTGGTTGTAATTTCCAGCAAATACCTCGTCATTCTCGCAACGAAACACAATGGTAGTTTAGCAGCTGGAAAGAGGAAGACATCGGATACATATTGAAGTGTTTGTTTATCTTCATTCTAGCGTGATTGCCGATGGATTGAAAAAACTGACACAACTTTTGCACCAACCTAATAAGTTATCAAAAGCCATTATTTTGCTAAGAAATTATGCGTGGAAGTAAAAATTTGGCCGTACAGAGCCACGTTCGGCTTAATACTGGGCCAAAACATACAGCTTACTTACTTTGAATTCTTAAAGCCTAAAGCTGGGCTGAAAGTGCAACAATGTGCTCAGTCTCGCAGTTTTTATGTACGATTTTATCACAATGAAACTGCTTGTAGCTTCGCCGATGTAGACGCACCTTCAGAAGCCTGTGAAAAGTCATAGAAGTCTGCTGAAAGTAGCGTCAACTTTTGACATAACTTTTCTTAATTACGAGAGAACCCTTAGTTGCATCAGATCCAACGCCATCCTTGAGATAGTCGATCAAGGAGTGTACCCAGTTTATATGAGGGCATTGTTCGACTGCTACATTGTAACGGCGTGGAGGTATTATCGCCGCTATATCTCAACTGAGGAGACGGTTCGACAAGACACTTCAAAGCTGGTCAACGCGGCTTTGTACTCGGTGCTGGAGTCTCTAGGGTAGAACAAAAAAGGCTACGACTCTGAAGAAGATTTTCCTAAAACGCTCGTTTTGGTTAGATATCTCCTTTATTCCGAGCACTATCATAAAGAAGATGTGATGTTTGATGAAACGACACAGGAGAAAACTCAAAAGAGAAGAAGAGCAGTCTGAGCCAGCATTCACAGGCTGACGGATTTGAAGCTTCGCGTCCTTCTTTTTGACTGAACTGAGAGCAGCTAAGGGAAGGCCATAGGTTGTCGGTGTTGTCGGTGTTGTCGATGTTGTCGATGTTGTCGATGTTGTCGGTGTTGTCAGTGTTGTCGGCGTTGTTGATGTTGTCGGTGTTGTCGGAGTTGTCGGGGTCAGAGACAGGTTTAGAGAGCGCGCGAAACGTGGAAACTATAATGAGGTCCTACAACGACCGGCAACCTCGGCAACCCCGACAACCCCGACAACACCGACAACATCGACAACACCGACAACACCGACAACATCGACAACACCGACAACACCGACAACATCGACAACACCGACAACCTATGGCCGTTCCCTAGAATTCGCACTGGTGCATCCATGTCGAAAGCTTCATGGCTCAGGAACAATGTGCTTAGCGCAGCCTTTGGAAAATTGAACGACACACACACACCAACTTGTCGGAGCAATTAAAAGACTTCATTGTGGCAAAAGCGAAATACCGAGGATTTAGTTCATGAGGGGAGCAGACGACAGATGGACATTAGAGTGAATGATTCGGCAGAATGCATTTAAAATCGATCATCTGGATGAAATGTATGTTCTTGGAACGGATACTCAGAGAAACCAACCGCATATGACTTGACCATTTGCTTCCCGCGAGCGACACTGTCGCAGCCGTAGGTAGAAGACGCAAGCAGAGTATAGGAACGAATAGCAACCCCTGTGTTGAGATCTAGACCGATAAGAATCTACTTTACCTGCGGCATCAATATGTCGGCAAAGTGATACACAAGCGGGCAAACTCCGGAATGCTCGCGGACTGATCATAAGCAAATTAATGCAAACAATTTCATCGAGACCACGTGAAGGTGCTAGCATTGTCCGCAAGGGCGTCCTATCCAATCAACTGCAGACATGTGCGGCTCTTAACTTGTAGTGAGGCGGAGTTGCGTTAACGCAGTTGCGGTCGCCCTGTGCTGAGGTATACCTGATCCATCCATCTTTGTTGACTATCAAGAATCCGCCTCTCCACAATTGGGACTCGAGATACATGCCGCGCCAAATGTTAGAAAAAGTGCTGCCTGCGTGTTGTGCATGGTCTATGCTGTTTTTGGTAGACACAGAAAGCAGCTGATCGACATGCACAACGAGGACGCAAAAGTTGTTAAGGGCAAGATTTTGGAAATGCAAAACTACGGCGTCCTGGTTAAGTCAGCGATAATTAGAAATTTTCCTTGCGTACAAAACGACAAGTTCCAGGGATAGACCTGAATAACAAAGAATTTGATCATTTCAGCGGAAATAAAATTCTGGAGTGGCTGAATGATTGATTGCTGAGATCTGACTTATATGATAATGCAGCAGCACGCAAAGAGAGAGAAGACGCAAGACGCCACCAGCAAAGTGCAGATGTCGACGCGGTAGAAGCAGTCCAATGCTAGCAACTTTCTTCCTCAAAAAAGCACACTATATTTTGTGCTTTCTTACCTGCCGGCAGCTCTCACCGCTCAAATTCAGGAAAGATGCCGGAAGGTTTCCGGCAGGCTAGTTCGTGGAGTTGTCAACAGCATCTGCCTTTTCAATATCTTTCTGAGGAGGTTTGACAGTCATTTTTTGTAAAAAAAGATTTTTACGGCTTAAACATAGGATCCTGGAATGATATCCACGAAAGTCCATAATGGAGGAAAATGGACTTCCAAACCCCATTTTATTCGTTCGCGGTAGAAATTGGTCGGAATCTGCTTTCGAAAAATTTTTATCTCATCGCAATCACGAGGCAAAGCGGTGTGATGAAAATGATTCAACCCTACTTGAGCTCTCGCTTGCGAAAAAGTCATGCGAAAAGTCCATTTAAAATGGGCAAAATGGGATTTACCTCCATTTTAAATGGACTTGAAAGCCCATTTTACTCCCAGCAGCAAGGTGAGCTGGGACTAAGCCCATTTTCTACCTTTTTGCATATTTTATGGCGATTTTTTGAGAATGTGTTCCTTAGCCCATTCTAAGGTAACAAGCGAGTAGAAAAGTTTCATGTCTTTTATGAAGTCTGAGATAAGTGCTTCTTTCTAAATTCATACAAACGCTATAAAATACATGGAACAGGGTTAAACTTACCAAAATATTCGCTAACAAACTCAAATGCTTCCAAATATCAGGTCGATGCGAATATTCCTACGTAAATCGAATAAAGTTTGTTAGCTCTTCAAATTATCAATCAAAACTAAATTCATGATTTGTATTTGAGAATAAGAAAGATTTGCGCTTCAATACAATTACTTAGAAGCTATCTTTTGACTATTCTCGTAGAACCGAACCTCAAAGATGGCATTTCAAACGCAATTTTGAGATTGGTCGCAAGAATTACTGAAATGCCGCTAGCTAGCAAGAAAAATTTCGTAAAAATTTTCTACTAGCAATAGTCATACATTCAACTTCTTAGAGATATTAGAGATATAAACATTAATGCTGAAAGACAAAGAAGAGCTAAAGTAGAACATTTGAGAAGTCATCCTTTGCGACTCGCAGTTTTCCGATTTAAAGAAACCTTTGCGTTGTATGCAGGGCTCGGCACAGATGGTCTGGGGTCAAACTGGACTCGTTTTTGAAGTTGGAAGCATTGGGAATATCGTTTTTATAAAGTCCTGGGGGAAGCGCCGATAAGAAAACGGCGAATATGTCAGGTTTTACGAGTTGAACGCGTTCTTTCGCAAGCGCGCGAATTTCAAACGCATAACTCAAACAAACAAATGGCTTGTTTACAGCGCACAAACAATCACACGACGCCGAATTTGAGCTAACATGTATACAACATTACTCCAAACTATGTTATGTAAAAAGTTTCAAAAACTTATGTGTCCTAATATCCGTTCCAGAATTTGTTGGTTTCTAGACCAACACCAAACCATCCGGGTTGGTTCGGAGCTTATATATCGGAGAGTTTACACAAGTCGACATTTTCGACATTCTGAGCACTAAAATGGTACCCTACCCAATGACAGATCCTTTAATCAACTCGAGATGTTTTCTTTTCGCTTTTTTGTTACATTAGGTGCCTCAAAATGCGCTTTTTTTGCTTTTTTATTGTTAATTTGATTAACTCTGACTGTTCTGTCAAGAGGGACTTCGTAAATTTTCGCGAAGTCATGGGGGACTTCGTTTCCAAAAATGCTCCAAACCAACGCGTGCCGGGCCCTGGATGGCATTTTTTGATGTATAATGAAGTGTGAAAGCATAGAATATTCATGTCCTGTCATCGTAATGTTAGGTCAGCCCTAGTTAGATATCAACCACTTGGTAGAAATGAGTTTGTAAGAGTGAGTAAACAGGTTGAGGCAAGTTGGAGAAAAGTTTGCTGAAGAATTTTGTATGGAATGAATGGATTTGCGAATGCGATATCTTATCGCACCGCATTTTATTCGCACGAAAAGCCCATTTCGCGGGGACTTTCGTGGATATCATTCCTGGTTTCGCCGAACTTTGAGGTGACGCCGGGTTGGCGGCGAGAACTGAAGCCAGATCGGAGAGATTCCTACGTCCCTACGTAACGTGAATTCGTGCCCTAAGTATCAGAGATGCAATGAATAGGGCAACAGCTTTGCCTTCACTTTTGAAAAAAAAATATATTGCTAATAAATGGAATTTTTCGTCTTGTACAGGAAGGTCAGCTGTTTCCTCTTCACAGCCCATACGAATGTACTCTCAAAAGGCACTGTAGCATCAGCGCTTGATGTAAAAACGGCAAGCTCAAGATTTTTTGTTTCAGCAATACTGCATCATTAATTGCTTGCCTTATTGTCTAACTGTGCTACTGGGCAAAACGAGAAAAAACTAGCGATCTTTGTTTTATAGCATTCCTTTTCCTTTCGGAAATGGAGCGCAAACTGCACCATATCAGCTCTATCTCGATGAAGTTCTTAGTATCGTAATTCTTGGTGACTTTTGTCTTGAGCTACTAATAATGAGTGCATCATTAACGGACGACTAAAGCTTCTTCTACAGAAGGGTCAAATCTCTGCTCAATGACCTCATAAAACCACAGCATGGAAGCATTTTCAAATGGTACCCTACCACTTTTCTTTGCCTTTTTCAAAAATTACCTACGAGTCTCAAACGCACTTTATCTTTCAGGGTCGGAAACAGGCCACCCCCTTTATCTTAAAGAACATCCGGCTCCACATTCGCTGCCACTTAGTTTAAGTTCAAAAAGTCATTGCTTACCAAATCCAAATTTCACAGCCAACATAGCATTCCTAAGCTGATCAGCAAAGAGGGGCACCACAACGAGAGGTGTGCCGAGATAAGCGCTTTCCGTCAAACTACCAGCTCCTCCGTGAGTCACAAATAACGACAGGCGATCGTCAGCTGGAAGCAAGTTTTGGCTCAGCTGACATGGAAATTTCTAGGCCGCAATTTTTTGAAAGGACTGCAGATGAATGATACAATGACAGATACCCACCCAGTAGGTCACTTTGAGGTGTCCACTTTGTTAAGAACAAGTTCTCAACGTCAGATGCGAATTGTGCATTATCAGGATCTTCATATTTCCAAATGAATGTGACACCGGAGAATCTGAAGATGCAGAGAGATTGTACGGGAATGCGGCCGCACGGACCTTACGATTTGGCGACTTTGACAATGGCTTTCTTTATTTGATCTGGCATACAGCTGCTATTTGCCAAAGTTCCAAAAGAGATTAGCACAGTCTGTGAGCGTAAACCAAGCATTCGATCCCATTCCTAGAATAATCCCACGGCATTCAAAGCAGAAACAACCACAAACTAATACCTTTCCCAGCGCTCTAGGTTCTTTTACGCCTATACCGCCTATTTCGACAATGTTATGGAGAGAGGGTTTTGCAAAATCCAAATAAGGAATGCTATTGGTCAATATGTACGACATATTCGAAACAGAATCCTAAAAATGAAGCAAATAAGATTCGCTTCTGTAAACGAAAGGGTCTTCCAGCATTCAAAATTCACCCAAATAGGTGTTGCAGATTTTCCCAATTCCTTCACCATTGCAGATTCCGCCGCATTCGCAAGCCCTTTTTGGTAGTACCAGCAATAGAAGGTAAACATAAGATTGGTCGCCCGAGTTGAAAACGATGCTGAGTCATCGGTAACTCCTTGTGTGGCTGTAGTCGCCATTTGTACAAGTTTGATGTAAGTTTGTGTTTGAAATTACCTGGTATAAAGCTGGGAATAACCGGTACACCAATGGCATATGCTGTACCTTCCACCAAAGAAGCATACGAATGAGTACCAATAATGTTTTTAAGGTTTATGGCCTCAAACACAGCTAAATAGTTTAGCATAGCACGTCTAGATTCTAGACTACAACAGATTGGGAATTACCTATGCCAATAAAATCAAAAAGTTCTGCTATGCCTACATCAAAGTTCTCAGCTTTGAGGAATTCCATCAACTCCTTATCCTTCAGAAGAGCTGAAAGCATTGATGAAGGGTCTTTATTAGCTTGAAATCATGTTGATGAGCACCTACTTGTCACTGACCCCTCTATCCACCGTGCCCATGGAGGAAGCATCTAGGTAGAAAAGCTCTTTCACAGGTTGAGATTAATTAATTTGTGATTAATTTTATTCCGCCAAAAAACCTACTTTGATCACGTCGCTGGGGCGCATGCTGCCAGTATATATGCCCTTGTGGACCTCTGGATTCCCCTTCAGATTTGAAATTTCTGCTTTCAAGCGATCATCAACGTCCCTTTGAATTAGATAAGACTTCATTGTTCCATTGTCTACATACTCTGAGAGCACCGGCTGCAGAGTCACCTGTGTATATCAAAGAAAGTTCAATAACTGCTTGCTAGATGCTACGGAATACAAATAAGAGTCTCAACACTTTAGAAGATTGTAGATCTGTGAGAGTAGAATTTCGAATTCACTATTTTTCTTGGAAGAGTTCTTAATATTCTAGTTACAAAACCGCAGTCTCACCGAATCAACATTTCTTTTGCTACAATTTTGATAAAAACATCTCATCTTTCATTGGTAGTTCAGTAGTACAAATGAAATATATGTTACGTTCTCCTTCCAGAATTTGAAACCACAAAGAGGAAGTTGATGATGCAATTGGAACTCACCACATCATGGCCCGCTTCCACAAGAATGTCAGCTATCCTACCCATGAAATTCATATGACTATATGCGATTTTGGGATTGACAACGAGGATTTTGTATGGGTGACTGTTCCAAGCAAGTAGAAGTAGAAGCAGGATTACTAACATGGCTGAAAAAGTATGCACTACTTCACAAGATTAGCCCTTGGTATATACGGTTCGAAATGCTCGCACAGTGTTACTATGAAAATTGTCACCGGAATTAAGTAATCTCTAACAAAGTGATGAAGAATAGCTTTTAATGCACGTTACATTGTGATGCAAAAGTTATGGAGAGGATTTGCAGAAGGAGTTGCAAACTGCACGAATCATCCTAAGAAAGAAACGGTCACGCTTCAGCCCGAAGATGAGTAAAGCTCGCGGTTAAAAATTGAGGCGGAGGAAAAAGTGACCTAAGAAGCTTCCGGTACAACGCAATATACTGTAATCACGTTATGAAAACATAAACTCCGCCGAAGGACGTGCTCGAAAAATGACGGTACTGGACTGAGGACTGTATATAAGGCAGACAACAAATCGAGAAAACGGAGTGCTACTACATCTTCACTTCCCCTTCCTTTACGTAATCCTGGGCACGCCCCTCCTCTCTTCCTCCATCTCGGAGGATTGTGCCTTCTTCCTTGTCAATGAACATGTGTGTGCGTGATAATTTCGTCAGGTGATGTACCTTGTTTCCGTGCATGCCCTCAATGTTGAACTTAGCATTAAGAAGATAAATGTCGTTGGGAATTAGTGACCTTTAGATGCACATGTGAAATTTATGGCTTTTGATGTGCTCTTGCAACCAGTTACTAATTGTTAATGTTCGCCAGATGATAAGAGATAACACTTGGTAGGAGGGTTTAGAGTAACCCGCGCACTGGAGAATTATGCGAGCCTTACAAAGTTTGAGATCGATCAATGTTAGATGCATTTTGATGTTCCGACCATTTACCCTGACCTGTAACTCGCATTACAACGCTTTGTCAAACAGGAATTGGAATAGGTATAGAGGTCGTTTTAGCAGTAGGACACTCTAACACTATTGACTAATCTCTTCTGATGCAAGGCTACAAAACAAGTTTTTAGGTTAAGCGAGTTGCGTTCCGTGGGCAGTGTCTGCAATGCACTTGTAATGCACTTATCTAAGTCTGCCTTTTTCGAAACTCCATCTGCACTAAATGGTATTCAACTAGTCCTGAATCGTCCATCTCTACTGAGTCATGTAATAATAATGGCCGTTCTTTCAAGACGTTTTCAGGACAACTTTCCTTGCAATTCATCCATAGATGCTCCAAAATCCATCAATTTTCATGTTATCAAGCTACCGATTCAAATTCTTGAAGAGACCTACTCAAAGTGTCTATGCTTTTAGCTGCTCACCTAAAATCTCCGCTATACAAATTTGAGGCTATTCACATTTGAAGGGCATATGACGCATAAAAAGCTGGAATTTCGGATAGACTGTTTTTGCAGCTTTTTCGAAAGTGCATTACCAGAAAACTTTGAAATTATAGGAAAAACACTCACAAAATCAGTTTAAAGAGCATGTAAGATTTTTGAAAGGCGCGAGTTTTTTAGTTTTTTGAGGCGCACAGTGAAAACTATGATGGACTGAAATGCACCCTCTGACAGTTTTTGAGTAGGACATTTGCAGAATGAATGGTATTTGTAAATACCTTCTGATTGCCATTGCTGTAGGTTTACACAGTACATTTTGATAACAGTTTTGCACTACTGAGGAACAATGCTCCTTTAGAACTCCAAAAGAGCTGAAATTAGTTATGAATTAGGATCGATCTAGATATAAACTTCGCACATTGCCTTGACATCCGCTTGACATTCATGCCGAGTACATTCAGAAGTGTTTTCAAAAATCAACAAAACCTGATTGCTCTCAACTCTGCTCAAATATGCACAAAATTGAATGCCGAAGTCTGCTGTTCTAAATGTCACACTTCAAAAGATCTTGATTTTTTGAAAAAATTATGGCATTTCAGCAAATTTGCAAAGGCCCTCATGCGTTCGAACCATTATCCTCTCCTAACGAAGAGCATCCGATAATGCACTTTGAACTATAATTCTCGTTTCAAGCGAGATGTAGAGTATGGTGCCCAGAGATCGGTTTAAGACACTATGGCAAAATGATACCAAGGATCAAACGATAGAGATATTTTTGGGGTGTCCTGCAGTCACAGAAAATAAGAATATCTCACAAACTCGCCACGGGCATGATTGTATTTACCTCCTTGTCTTCAGTACCCCTCCATTGTAGTTGCGCTCGGCTCAATCAATGCTTCGATGGTGCCAGTAAGCTTTTGGACTATTTTCTCTGCAAAATGGGCCTTTCCGTACGACAGTATATGTGTTTCCACTCGCGTGCCGAAGCAGCGCGAGCGGAAACACATATTAGCTTTATGCAAAAAATGGTGTCTCACTTTGACTTGCTGTTACTTTCTGAAAAATCTGCAAGCCTTTCGCCTTAGAGTGACCGCAACTACTAACCCGTGTTGAGAAGCTGCTATCTCAGTCTAGACATCAAAAAATACAGTCATGTGTGGGTAAGGTAAGCAATTTCCATCACATACAAAAGCTAACCGAAAGAGCGCCAACATTTGCGCTTGAATTTTGGCCAAAAAATTGAATGCAATGAATTACTAGTTTCGAGTGCGGTTCTATAAAGCTTTGTAATTTTTTAACAGATTAGGCTAGACGTCTACTTCAATCATTTATAGAGCGTGAAAGAGGTCTTTTAGTGGTATGCTGAATCCGTTTCAAAGAAGGAAGGAACACTTCCTTGGGAACTACTGATGAGGGGCACCCAGAAAGTCGCATGACCGGTATAGTTCTCAGCCCCGAAACCGGAATGCGAATAAATGTTTCCTTCTAACAACATGATTTGAAAAAATTTCTCTTATAATATTAATACTTTGCCTTTCTTCTATAAAGCGCAGCGGTAAACAAACCCAAAGCGGCACGCACAGACATCCATCTGCCGCCGATGGCGTCAGATGGGGGTGCCTGCGCTTTATTATGATAATGGTGATTGTTGGAGATGGCTTTCAGGCTCATCCAAGTAGTTACAAAGCTACAATAACCGCATCCAAAACTAGAATTTCATTGCAATTACTTTTTTAGCCAGAATTAAACCACGAATGAACGGCACTTCTTCGAAAATTCAACTAATGTGGGTAGAAGAAATTGTTTGCATTATGCACACTCGACTATTTCTTTTGAATTTTACTCTGTATATCGGCGCTCAGCATGGTTGGCGTTTGCGGTCGTTATATGCTCCATTCTTTAACACATTGGTGACAGTGCAAACTTTGAGCTGTTTGTCTTTTGGGATCAAGGTCTGTCACGGATCACATTTCCTAGAGATAAAATCAGCATTTTGCCACTTACAGTATACCTACAGTAGCTCTGTGAGGGTGACAAATAAGACGGAAATTAATTCTAAATCCAGCGCAAAAGGAAACTTCTAAAATGAGTTTGTCCCAGGATGGGCGTCATTTTATCATTAGGTTGATTCAAAAGTTCTGTCGCTTTGATCTTGAAAAATTCGTAACTGCTTTTTATGCGAATGTATTTGCTTATAAAAAATATCGCCTTACAGGAAAATTCATCTAGTTTTCAAATTTTTTTCTGGCTTCTTGACAACAGATGACTTCAGAGGTAAAAATCAGAGAAGCAAAGCCACTCGAAGTCTCGATTTTCAAAAATAATACGTCAAAAATTTGAAACGGTCCAGAAAAATCTGAGAGCACGTATTGATTATTTATTATTATTATTAGTATTATTATTTATTCAGAGCAGAGTTTTTTAAAGATGCTCTTTCTAATGGTCCCAAAATCTTGCTGATTGAGCTTTTCTATAAAAAGTTATGATTTAGGTTTAACGTCATTTTTGCCGTTTTTGCATTTTTCACGAGGATCATAGCTCTTCGTAGAGAAGCTCGATCAGCGCAATCTTCAAAAATCAGGGAAGCACTATTAGAAAGCTAGCTCATAAGACCTTTTGAGAACATGCTGTGAGAATTTTCTAAAGCGATTTAGATTTTCAACATTTATTTTCGAAAATCAGAGTTTGAGTGGTTCTCCTATCCGAATTTCTATCTCTAGAGTCTTTTGTCGTCAGAGAGCAGCGAAAACCATTGAAAAGTAGATAAATTTTTTTCTTCTGGTGATGTCTTTTGTAATTTAGTAGTCACATAGAGAGCAGTTACGATTTTTTTAGAATCAAAGCGACAGAACTTCTGAATCAACCTAATAGATCTAATCATTGACAATCATTTGTGTCAAGAGATCGTCATTGTGTCAAAAAGGCAACCGCCAAAGCTTTGCTCAATTCCATAAGCGTAGGGGTTAGATATTCTGTTGACTGTTTTGCAAAAACATTCAGCTCTTTAGTACTCAGAGAAAATTAGAACCCCTATAATTCGGGATTTTGAGGCCTACTATATGTTGAGGAGACTGATTTTTTCTTTTGAAATTTTCCTTCTTCGAGCCTTCTCATCTTTTTGTTCTACTGGCTTGCAACTACAAGACAGGCAAGTTATCATAATAACTAACTGCGAAGAAAGTTATGATTCGTTAAAACAAGGTTATAGAAAAAATCTTTTTTGTTTTTTTAACTCAGATTATTATGCACATTTATGATTTGGGTATAGATGAAGGTGCGTTGGTATTACAGAGGTTTGCTGCTCGATGGTTTTTATTGCATTCGAAAATGTGGATTTATCAGAAAGTTATAGGCCAAAGTAAGAATTCGCAAACCGGCCATTATTTTTGCATCAACCTAAGGCTCCCGCTAGAGTGCGAAAGCCACGCTAGCGCTGCGCCGGCGCCGAGCCAGCGCCGAGCTAACGCCAAGCTGCCCCAGCGCTGTTTCGATCGATACACGTGCATATCGTTGGGTGGGGCTAGCTGACCTAGTTCTCAGCCAGGTAGATGCACCTATTTTTGATCGAATCTGCCAGCAGCACCGGTAGCCCTTGCCCGCAGAGGGTCAGCTAGCCCCGCCCCGAACAAATGGGACAGCTCGGCGCTGGCTCGGCGTTGGCGCAGCACTGGCGTGGCTTCGGCACTCTGGCGGGGGCCTAATATTTACGACAAAATGAACCGAAATTA